CATTAAAAGCTGGAAGGGATTTGCAGAGAGTCCAGAACTAACGAAAGGCATGACATGTAATTTTTTTAAAAGAGTTCTCATGTGTAGGGAAACCTGAAACTTAGTTAAAAACAGGTTTCTTCAAAATAGTAAATATTGCATTCAAGTGAGACTATTCTTAAAAGATTATTACACCTAGTACAATAACAGCCTATTCGGTCCATTGTTTAAAATAGCTAAGCCTAACATGGAGAGGCTGTGTATGTGTGACTTGGCTTTGCTTTTCATTTGTTTTTTTTGTTTGTTTTTTGTTTGTTTGTTTTTTTAAGATTTATTTCTTTATTCATACAGAACTGGAGTACAGGCCAGAGATGCGGAGGTGAGAGGATTCACCAGAGACAGAGTGGGGAGCAGAACAAGCAGATCAACTAAGTACACTGCTGAGGGGAGCAGCGGGAGGGTCAGGAGAGGTCTGCCGTGCCATGTGGTCACCTCCAGGGCAGGCGGGGATCGAACTCATGCAGAAGTGGCTTAGACTTCTTAGTGCTGTGCTTTAACCCGCTGCGCCACCAGGGAGGGCTGCTTTTCATTTGTTTTAATAGCATGTTGATCCTGACCAAAATTTATGATATCCAGGCCTGTTAATTATTGGTAATTATATACTTAATAAACATTTTTGTATTGCAATTTCTCTCTTTTTTAAAAAGATTTATTTACATATACATACAAGAACTGGGGTAGAGGCCAGAGGTGCAGTTGTGAGAGCATTCACCAGAGACAGTGGGGAGCAGAACAGGCAGATGGACTGAAATACACTGCTGAGGGGAGCAGCATAAGAGAGGGGAGGTCTGTTGTGCAGTGTGCGTCAGCTCCCTGGCTGGGGATCGAACTCTTGCTGCAGTGGCTGTCCACAACTTCAGAGTGCTGTGCTTTTAACCCTTGCACCACCAGGGAGTCCCTGCAATTCTCTTTACTGAGCATCATCATAGACATTAGCTCACTGGGATGTCATAAGGCTGTTAAGGAGATAGGATGTGGTCTACTTTCAGTTTTTACAGCCACTTCACTGGCAAAGCCATAGTCGCCGTGGGTCACTTGTCCAGTGTCATGCTGCCCATGGGTTCAAGCATACACTCCGCCTGTGCCTTGTGGCATTTCTAAGAATGCGGAGAGGTGGGATCCATATTCAGGTGAGTGATAGAGAGGCAACTGTGACATCACACAGCTCCTGCCCTCTTGGAGCAAATATGAGCTAGAAGTTGAAGGGCCTCTCTTTCCTCCTCTTAACTCCCTTTGTTCCACCTACTTGTTCCTCAAGTAGGCACGACATGGAGGCGATGGAAGAGGACAATTGACACATTCATCACATACTTATTGCTGGGCTAGCTTTCCTACTGTATAAAAATTTTAAAGGCGTTAGTATGGAGAATCACTTAAAATAGGAGAGTAAATTCTTTTAATTTATAAAAATAAAAAGATATTTTATGTGACCGAGTTATTGTTTTTTTAAAGCTAAATTTTACTTTTCTAGGGATGTGATATTTTTTCATTTGTATTCTTCATTAAGCTATTTTTATTCTGCTCTGAAATGCCATTTTGCCACAAGTCCAGTTCTTTTATACTTCTATCCACAGGGAAGTCATAATCCCCTACTTAAATAGAAGCCAGTTACCATGGAAATCATTCTAATGTCACTGAATCAATATTTTGATTTTGCTGACATTTAATATAAAAAGAAAAGACAGACTAAGATTCATAAAAGTCACTTTTCACCTTTGTTATAATTTTGATAGCTAGAAAAATTACAAAGAAAACATATGTTCCATAATGAACTCCAGATAGCTCATGATTATAAAGAACTAAGAATTCATAAAAGAGCAATCTCCGTATTTATGTGAGTTTGGCTTTGAGAACACCACCCATGTGTTTGGATTCAAGGTTTAGTTCCCCAACTCTGAATGCCCCAGCCCTGATGCTCTCTTGTCATTATTGAAATCATAACTTGGTAGAAGAGATTCAAGTATATTCCGTTTTACAATTGTGTTTGCATGAAGCAGAAGGTGAAATTTGCATTAAGAACCACTTTTGTATAGAAGTTGACCATTTCTGTACCAGATCCTGATAGTTGCTCTGATTCACTTCCCATCCCAAAGACTCACAACAGTTGAACCACCCCATCCATACGGTCCCCCTAAGAGGAGAGCTACTGGGCCCTCCCTGGTGGCGCAGCGGGTTAAAGCACTGCACTGAGAAGCTAAAGCCACCTCCACATGAGTTCGATTCCCGCCTGCCCCGGAGGCGACCACATGGTGTGGCAGACCTCTCCTGACCCGCCCGCTGCTCCCCTCAGCAGTGTACTTCCTCGATCTGCCTGTTCTGCTCCCCACTCTGTCTCTGGTGAATCCTCTCACCCTCCGCATCTCTGGCCTGTACCCCAGTTCTGTACGAATAAATAAATCTTTAAAAAAAAAAAAAGAGGAGAGCTACTAAGTGGACACCCCCCCTTACCCTCAGATAGAGCTCCAAAAAAAGTCTTGGCTACCCCTCTTACTGAGCCACCTTCTCCTCTTCGCCCTTCAGAGAAATGGATGAGAGAACTGATGCCTTCTGTTGGATAATTCATCACATGGGACCTCAGATTTTCACAAGTGAAGGGATCTCAGACAGAATTCTGAGCTGCCTCAGGAATTAGCTACCTCAAGCATCCCAAATGAATGGTAATCCCTTCTGCTTTTTAGAACAAACTACCAACTGAAATGTTGCTTCTAATATGGGATCCCCCCATATTAAAACCAGCACCCAGCACCCCAGCCTCCGCTTAGGTGGGGTGTGCATTTTGCACATTTCCTGGAAAGTCTGTTGCGTCGTGACAGTGTTTAACGACACGCTCCTGGTTCACTGCAATTTTTCTTTCATCTCTGTTCTTCAGCTGGCTTTTGTATTTTCTTTTATTATGGAATTATTCTAGATCACATTCCACCTCTCATCACTCAGAAATCTGTTCTAAACCTGTAAGCTTCTTTTACACACAATCTATTGTATCTGATTACGTGGTTTCCTAGAAATAAATGTAGGAGGTAGAGACTCCTGAAAACAGGTCACAGGAAGTGGAGAGAATGGAAAGCACCACACAGCAAAAGCAGGGAAAGCTCACAATACTTAAATTCTGCAAAAGGCAGGACTCTGGGGCCCTTTAGTCCATTAACTAGTAAACTATACAATTTATTTCTAAAAGCATCCATGTGTTAAAGGTTGAAGGACGACCTTGGTTTATGAGATAAAAGTATGAAATCTCCAGCTTACTCTCAAGTAATAGAAAAACAGACATACCCACATGCTTGTGTGCTATATTTATCACACCAACGCAACTGGAATCAACCAACTGTTAACAGACTGTAAATAAATTGCATGATATATACTTTATCTTTAAAAATCCTTTTTCTTGGGCCCTCCCTGGTAGCACAAGGGGTTAAGCATAGCACTGTGAGGCTGTCCACAGCCACTGAAGCACAAGTTCGATCCCCAGCCAGGGAGGTGACCCACACGGCACAGCATATCTCTTCTATCTCGCCCGCTGCACCCCTCAGCAGTGGATTTCAGTCAGTTCTCCTATTCCCAGCCCCGCTCCTCTGACCTGTACCCCAGCTCTGTAGAAATAAATCTTTAAGAAAAAAAAATGATATTTCTTAACAAATTGAATGTCATGGAAAATACAAAGCACAAAACTCTCTACTGTGACTTCAGTTTTTGTGAATCTGCATTAAACATACCTCAATTCACAGATGTTGCTTCCACACTTGTATACACCCAAGATGCATTTCTGCACTAGTAAACTCAGGTGAAATGTCCCTTGGAAAATGGAGGGAATAGCTCCATCTCCAAACATTTATTTGTATTCTGCAGTATGCACAAAGCTGTTGTGCTACTGGGCTGGTGCCACATGGCACAATGAGGAAGGATGGAGCCAAAGTGTGATGCAACAGCGGGACCAGCCAGGGCCCCTCACAGACCATCCCATAAGGTTCTGTGCAAAGACTGGCCCAGAAGACAAGGGAGCTTTCCAGATTGGGAAGAAGATGGGACCAGGTAACAAAGAAATCTGTCCAGGAACCACCTGGCTTCTGCTCTCTGTCACATGAGACTTGGTTTGCAGGGGCACAAACCAAAATTAGGGAAGCGAGGAAGACGCTGGTGGAGAGGTGCATGACCAGACTGGCAGGTAGCAGCACTGGGAACATCAAAGTTCTTCCACACCTAATGCAAAATTCTGGATGGTCTTGTGTAAAGTATATGAGTCTACTCCCCAAAGCAGCTCTCAAGAAAACTTCAGGGCAGCTGACACCCTACTTAACAACTAAGGGCTAAAGAGTTAGTAAGCGCTGATAGAACACAGTCACCAAGGAGCAAGGAGACCAAGAGACATTTGCTGTGTACGTTCATTTCATAGCTGAGGAAAAACTAGGTACAGGTAGAAATCAGAGAGCGATGGAAGGAGAGAATAAAATATATACAATGTAGGTATGTATGTGTTTACACTACACATGTGCACATAGCATGTGTAAATTTTCTATTCACTGACAGGAAGACCACCAAAATGTAAAAAAGAGTTCTTTCTCAAAGGTGATTCGTTTCCTACATTTTACAGTTCTGTAATCATCGCATAACACTTCTATAATTATACAACAATATGGATAAATCCAAGAAATTTTCAATTTTAGGGATAGGCTAGGCTAAGTAATTTGCTAATGCCTCCGAACAGGAAGAGACTAAAACAACTCCCACACCACCTTCCCATTCTGATGATACAAATTAAATGCATTTTTCTGGGTGTCATTTGAGGTCACCAGAAATAAATAACTTGTGCTTCTGTACTGCCCACCGACACACCGCCAATTCGTTTCTGGGACTTCAGGGCAATTGAAGCAAGATGATGAGGCCCAGGAGCAAAGGTGGTACCCATGAGTGTGATGCCCAGCATTTGCTGCCCGAAATCTTTTTCTGGGTGAAGGGGGGGACCCTACCTTCCATGCGTTCAGGGGTCCTCGCGCTCTTACTGGCTGTGGCGCTGTTCACGGTCTCCGAGGAGGTGCTCAGCTTGGTGCTGGGGTCCCTCTTGGGCTTGGGCGGCGGCTGTCGTCGGGAGCCACAGCTGCTGTCATCGTCTGCGCCCCCGACCGAGTGCAGGGACTGTGACCTCACGGAAAAGCCACTGGGGCAAGGATGGGGAAGTCTGTCCTGAGGAGCGGGCATGGTCATGAACCCCATGCGGAAATGTTTGCCCGCGTACCCGGCGTCCTGGCCTCGCCCTACGTCTCCGCCTATGCTGTAAAGGGAAAGAGAGGAGGGTGAGCCTGGCGCAGGTCCCCGCAGGAGCGCAGCTGTGGCAGGTACATTTACACGTGCCAGCTTCAGGCTGGCGAAGGCACAGTCCCACCCCTCTGCACACGTTCTAGACGTTTGCATTCAATTTTGAAAGTAAAGCAACTGTAACTTGATTATAATCAGAACTCCTAAGATAGTTCCAGACATCCTAGTATCCAAAGTCTCTCAAAATAGGGTTCCCAGGGAAAGAAAATGCCACAGAACACATTGCTTCTTCACGCTCTTTACTTTGACGTAAATCGTAAATCGGGTTGGGTATTTAACAGGAATCTCGTGGCAATGGCCCAGAGGCAGCCTTTTGACATGACAGACATCAAGTGCTCAGTACTTAATGCTCCTCCCCATCATCAAAATCCCTTACTTTGACCTTATGAATATGCTGGGGAAGCAAAGAAACAAAAACAAAAGCCAGAGGAGTTTTGTTATCAAATTCAAGGGTGATGGTGGTGGGGAGCAGGGTTCGGGCAGACAGAGATGGGATGGAGAAGAGGAGAGGGGAGGGGAGGGGAGGGGAGGGGAAGGGAGAAGAGGAATAAGTTTGTATAGATAGATATTTCCCTCTTTGCATTGAGGAATTATCAGTTTGGTTTTTTTTTTTTTGTCTTTTTTTTTTCTCAAAATCCTTCAGTTACCCTAGAAACAGTTCTGCTAATAAGCTAGCTTCACAAAATATGACAAAATTTTGCAAACGTTTATATCAAACCATTGCACTTTTACAAAAGACCTACCTAAGCACCCATTTTTGTTAACCAAAAGCAATTTGAGGAGGATTTCCACTCTTGTAGCCAAAGATAAAAAGCAAAAATGACATTCAGCTTTTGTTTTGCAGCAGCCACAGATTGCCAGGCACTTTCCTCTGCTGCCCCGATTACCTTATACCTTAATTATGTGTAGTTATCACATCCCTCATGTTTTCACTATATGTGAAAGTTTTATAGTCTTTAAGTGTTATTTGAAATGATTTGATAAGTTAATTTTGGGTCTGGGGCTATTAAAATTTTTTCATAAATTAATAATTTCTTCTACTTTATATCGTTTAAGTCCAGGAAAGGCTCCATAGGAACATTTTAATTATGGATGTGGGGTGAGGGGAATCTATATAGAAGCAGCTAATAAATATCACCTGATCCTAGTATACTCCTAGTTACCTCATATATTCAAAGCAGGCCAAGTTTCCATATGTAAGTTCCTAAGTTTAATATATAAGAAAGTTTGAATACAAATTTTAAAATCTAAGGAGACTCTTGTATTTTTCTTACTGTTACTGAATAATTATGACACTTTTATGAAGAAAAAGTACAGGAATATGAATCTTTAATGCTATTTTTTAATTACGGTAACATTAGTTTATAAAAGTGTTTATGATTTAGTGGTATGGGTTTAAATTTCTTCAATTTCACATCATACCCACCATGAATGTGAATTTTTTAGGTGGAGGATTTTTCTAGCATTTTCCTCATTTTTGAAATTCATTCAATTATCCATTCCATTATTTTGCTTACCTAAAGAAATGTTGCTATAAAATATTTGATTTTTATACACATATGAGTGTGAAAATTATCTTTAAGTGTGTGAATTTTGGAAACTTGTTGAGAATATCTTTCCAAATACATATTTATTTAGGGTATTTTCTTAATTTTAGCTGATTCTGTCTTCTATCAGACAATGGAGTTAAGGTGCCTTTTATATCATTACCATGTTTGTTAAAAGTTTGACATTTCAGCAGGAACAATAATAGGAAATGAAATTTTTCACCCTACTCATCTGGAGATTCAAGGCAATTATATGACCATTGTGTATCAAGTCAGAAAAGATTCAGCAAATCTGAGATGTGATTCTGGCATTTAATTCTTATGCTAATTTGCCACTCCATCAGAAGCATTATTATATTTATTTCAGTTTTTTGCAGACTATTTTGAATTACTCTGTAGACACTTTTGCAAAACAAAATAAAGGTGGCTGGAATGCAGTAGCTAGACCAATAGATCCAGGGTCATGAACAAAATCAAAGCTGAGACTATGTGTATGTTCCTCCCTCATGACACTGAACATCCTAGGTTATGTATTGTTTTCAGGAGTTTTGTTTTCTGTGTTCTCTTCAAGAAATACCTGGAAGCCACCTCAAACAGTGTTTTGGGAAAAAACATTGAGAATTTAAGGCAGTGGGGATGGGGATGGGAGAGGTGAGGGATGGGTGAGCTGGTGTGAGAAGGTTTGTCCACCCTTTGTGATGTTTGTGGTCTTGACCATTTTCATTGAAGATGACACATTTGATTTCATGCTACTTTGTCATCAATTATTTTACATTCACATGGCTTTATTTCTGCAGTCATTATCACTGAACAAAAGATGCTTTAAAGATTTATTTACACCGGCATCTCATTCCCAGCCACTTAGCCATAGGAGGGGATTTATGCAGTTACTAATGCACCCAGGCATTTATGAGTTACTAGAAATTATAGTATCAGCAATTTCTGTTACTTTTGACCTAAGTAGATCCTGTACCTTTTCTCAGACAAATAGCTAGTTCTACTGCTTCATTTCAAAATTACATTTCTTCAGGGTAAAACAATTTCATTGAACTTTCATACACACACACACGTGCACATGCACACACACACACTCCTACCAAAAAGAAATTCAATATGTGCCTCAAGCAATAGTAGGTCTCAGGTACAAGTTAATTTTGATCAGGTTGTGAACACAGGGTGAAGAAATGAAGTCAAGATTGAGCTGAATATAAAAGTCATTATCCCGGTCAAGTCTCAGGCTAAGCAACAGAGATGAAGAAACATCTAGATTCAAGATCTAGCACACAAATCTAAAGTCCATGGAAAATTGTGGAATTACCACATTGTGCTACATTGTGGTAGTAGAGCCTAACATGACTACAGGAAAAACTGCGGAATTTTTAAAATGTGCAGATTCCTAGTCAAAGCCATAATAAGATACTTCCTCATTCCTATGAGAATGCCAAAAAGGATCAGAAATCACAGTGTTGGACCGCATCTGGAGGAATGGGAAAACCCAGACTGGAAAACTGTATGGATGGTCCCCAAAACATTAAAATCAGGTCTATCATATCATCCAGCAAGTCCACTTCCAGGTATCTACTCAAAGAATGCAAAATTACTGTGTCAAAGGCATAGACATATGACTATGTTCATTGCAGCACGATTTGTTACAGCCAGGTTACAGAAACAGTCTAAGTGCCCAAGGACAGATGAGTGGATTAAGGAGATGTAATCTATAGACACACTACTAGGCTATAAAAAAGATGAATTCTTGCCATTTGTGACATCAATAGAACTGGAGGGGATCATGCTACGTGATATAGATCAAAAGGAGAAAGACAAATACTGATGCTTATACTCACATATGGAATGGAACAAACAAAACTCAGGAATAAACAAGCTAAAACAAAACAATCCCTAGAAATCTCACTGTATATCTGAGTCTACCAAAGGAGGAGGCAGGCCAGGGGAGAGGGGTTCAGTGGAACATGTTGCAGGAGTATGGGTGCCCAGGTGATGGGTGGGTGTTGTCACATGCATCTGGAGAGGTGATAAGCTAAAGCCACTTCAGCATGAATTTGATCACCGCCCCGGAGGTGACCTACATGGCGATCCACATGGCGTGGCAGACCTCTCCTGACCCGCCCGCTGCTCCCCTCAGCAATGCACTTTGTCAGTTGGCCTGTTCTGCTCCCCACTCTGTCTCTGGTGAATCCTCTCACCACCCCTTCACCTATGGCCTATACCCCAGCTCTGTATGCACAAATAAATTAATCTTAAAAAAAAATGGAATGAGGGAAAGTTATCAGAGGCCAGACAAAGTATCTTAGAAAAGAAAAACAATGATATTTTGGTGGGATCATGTCAGGTTATCCTGCAGTAGCAAGTGATCATGCCTTGGTGATTCACAACAAAGCTATTTCTTGCTTGGGTTTATTGGGCTGCGGTGTGTCAGTCCCAATGCCTTCTTGAGACTAGAATCTAGTCCTACTGGGATGTGTTCCCAGGGCAGAGAGAGAAAAGGACTCCCCAGATAGAAGCTTATCTTCTATGGCTTTGGTTCATGTGTGGCCTTTAATCTTTCACTCCATTGCCAAATTAGTCTCCCAGACAAACTTGATGTCACTGTGCTTAGGACTGTTTCTCTTTCCATAGAAACACACTGGAAGTTAGGTGGCAATAGATGGGATGCATGCTGCTCTAACAAGTAGGTGGACAGTTTCCTGCCCTGTAGTAAATGTCCCTGAGGTTGCCCTTCAAGAGAGTAGTTGCCATGTGCTGACAACCTATCATCCATCAGGAGACATTGTGTTTTCTGTCCCAATTCTGGACTTTACAAAGTTAGAAGGCCTAGGGACAAAACTAAGCACACTCTCTCTAGAAGACATGGGGATGGTCCCATTGGCATAATTTGAACCACCTTGTATGTGGCCAGCAGGTTGAGAAGATGGCTCTCCAATATGGAAGAAATGATTGACCCATGCGACTAAACACAGAGAACAATGTGTGAACCCCTTCTTGACATCCCTTAACCCAGTAATGACTTGAGAGATCATATATAACCACCATGTCCCAGAAGATACTAGAATACCAAGGATAACCATCAAACTCTCATGACAGAGAGTCTCACCAAGAAGACCAGCAGAGGATAGTCAAGGGTGAGAGTGAGATGCATTAAGTAATGGAGCAGGGACACTGAGCTGCAGTCCTTATAGGAATTTCAGTGAGGAGGGCTGTGACCTGTCATTCCTATGGTCCCCTTGCAAGTTTTTCCTCAGAAACAGTCCCTCTGGGAGCCTTCAATAGGAGAAGAACAGATGCTGGGATTACAGAAGCAAATATGGCAAAAGGAGCCATGGAGATATGTGGTTCTCTTATCTCTCAAAAGAGAAACTCCTGAAGATGGCAGTTAGCTGATAACCACCAG